ACTCGTAAAATACGACGTACGCCTCTCTTGCATTATCGGGCTAGTTCTAACGACGACCGTATTTAGGCTATATATACACGTTGTCGGAGAAGGCGTTATTTCCCAACAATTCTTTTAGTTATATAAACCAAGGTGTTTCTTTATTTCATTCTATCGATTTAATCCTTATTCGAAATAGAGCATCATTAGCTACCTAGCAAACTGATTATTCTGGAACTACAAAATTACCACGAGTACCTAATATTGTTAGGAACCTACTGTAAGATTTCAGATTCAACACTATAACCAATTAATCACAATAATTCCTATAAGTTTATATTTTTATAATGTTAAGTATCTCAATTTAATTATATAGGTCCCAAAATTATTATCAAACTACATGAACCCAATATACTAACATGTAGAGCATGATTTTAGGAGACTAACAAAACTAGTTTGACATTTTTATGATTTTTTTATGATTTTCTACGAATTTTACAAGTTTACTTTATAAGCTAAACTATCAAATACTCTAGAAACTAAAGAAGGCCGTCAGTCATTAAAACGGCCCAGCTCGGCCTGGCCCAGCGAGCAAGCAGCCCAGGCGGTAGCACCAGCTGGCCCAGCGGCCAGCGCAACCGGCGGCCCAGCAGTGCGGCCCGCGACCGGCCAGCAGGGCAGCGGCCCGATCAGCCGGCCGTGGCCCAGGCAGGGCGCAGCGCTCGCGGCCCAGTCGCGCGGCCTGTCAGGACGCGGCAACGGCGCGGGCGGCCAGCCCAGCAACCGTGCGCGGTAACAGGCCGGCCCAAACGGCCAAGCCCACAGACGCGATGCGTATTTTTCAAAAAGAGCCCCGCACTATTCGCTATTCGCTCCGAGATCTACAATCACTATTCATTCGAGTCACGTATTTGCAAATAAAACCCTGTATAAAACTGCGTCTTGGAGTTATACCCTCTTCTACCTTCTCCAAGCAGAGCACGGCATGGGGAGGGGCACGGCGGTCCGGCCGCACGCGCAGCACGGCGAAGACCCAGCAGGAGACCGCGGCACAGACGACGACGGGCGGCGATGGCGCCAGGAGAACAGCTGTCGCGGCGCGGGCGAAACGGCGGTGGTGGCGCGAGGCGAGGTGCTGAGGACCTCGGCGCAAGGAGGTGCGCGGACCGGCGGGGCCGCGGCGCCGGCAGGACGGCTCCGGGCAGCAGGCGGAGCACGGGCGCGCGGGAGAGCAGAGAGGACGCGCGGGTGCAGCGGCTCTGGCGTCGGTGGTTGGCCACGACGACGCTGCGGCCCGGTCCAGCGCGGGACCGCGGCGGTGCTCCAGACTTGGCGGCTGCGGGCGCACGGCAACGGGACGAGCAGCGCGCCGGCTCTGGTCCGGCGCAGCAAAGGGGCGCGGTGCGCTCGCGGGCCCAGGCACGCGGCCGAGGAGCTTGCGCGCGGACGGAGAGCAGGGCGTGCGCGGCAGAGAGGAGTTGCGCGCGGACTCGGCGTGGCGAACCAGCGCAGGCCAGGGGCTCGGTGCGCTTGCGCTCCGTGGCCGGGCGACGGTGAACTGGAACTAAAGCGTCTCCTTACAGGAAGGGTGAGAGAGAGGGAAGCAACGCAGGAGACAGACAGAGACAGGCACGAGAAATCAGGAGACAGACAGAGACCGGAACAGACCAGGTCGCAGCGGAGAAAAGAAAGAAAGAGAATAGCCGATCAACTGTACAGTGAGAGAGAGGACAGAGTGGCCTGACACATCAGAGAGGTAAGGCCAAAGCTAAAGGTTTACAACAGCGTGATTCAGCGTGAAAACGGCAGCAATAAAAAAAATGAGATAGACACAGACAGGCCGCAGAGGAGCAGGTCAACAAGCACTGATACACGTTTCAGCGTGAAAGCACTGATAAGCAATCACCAAAAAAATGAGATAAAGACAGACAGGCCGCAGAGGAGCAGGTCAACAAGCACTGAAATCAAAAATTAATTTTATTAAAGTTACTGCCGTAACGTGCGCGTATATATATATATATATATATATATATATATATATATATATATATGGTTTACTATTTGATCAATTTGCAACGTCGTCTAGCCAACTTTGCAAAAATTAAGCAAGCCTTAGTCAATTTAAATTAGGCATCAAAAAAATTCAGCAAGCTTGAATTTAAATTTGATTCTAAAGCTATATATATATATATATATCGTTCTATTTATTAATGAATTTTATTTTATTTATAAACATTATTTTTCATGTTTAATCTAATAGAACGAACCCTTCGTTATCGATTGGCCAGAATTGTCGTTCAGCAATTCCTAAATATTTTTTATGCACTGAAATTTAACTTGGACGTTTATTTGAATCCGCGAAACTACGTCACACAGGATTCGTTTATAACCTCAAGTACGTTTTAAATTAAAAATCCGAAAAACTCGTTTCGAAGTTTTACTTAGACCTAAATCACGACGTTAAATAAGATCGTAACATCGGGGTGTTACATCCAACATATGCAACTGGATGAGTATAGCCAATCAAATCTAGAAATCTAGATTCTATATTTAAAAGAGGGCCATAGGTCCTGTTTGGCATAGCTCAGCTTTGCCAAGTATCATCTGAGCTATTTTGAAAAAAATATTTGGCAAAATAGCTTGTGAAAACTACTTTTTTCAGCTTCACCTCTCTCAATTCCTTTGTGAGAGCATAAAAAAGAGCTTCACCCATGAGTTGTTTTGAAAAAAGATTTTGGTAAAAGACATCTCACAACACTTCGTGAAGTTGTTGGTGAAGCTGTGCCAAATAGAACCTAAATATAGCAGGAGCTTGTGAAGCGTGACTGTGTGAGGCATACAGTATACTTATCTACGCAACCCTACCTACCTACCTTGCGCAGGCTCGACGTGCACGGCCAAAATGACGAGCGCGGCTGCCAACATCGCCAAGCACACAGCCAGCAAGGAGGGACGACGCGCCTTCATTCTGTGTTTCTCTGTCGTCGTCTTGCTCGACTCTTGCGTCCTCTGGCTGGTGGATCTATCGCAGCTCGACTGGCCAGGGTTGCGGTGGTAACGCTGCCTTCTTATATATTAGCTCGCGGTCCGCGCTGCTTATCATATTAACGTGTTCATCAATCATCATATGGCTCACAGCAAGTGTGTAACCAGTAAAGAACCGAGCTCAACTGGTCATGTACGGTGCAGTCGGTGCACGACTTGTTAGAAGACGAACGCAGCCTGCTTGCCTGACTTCGTCAACCGACTAGACCGTCTGACTGCTGGCAGCTGACCACCACCGCCACCGGCGACCAGCTATAAAAAAGCACGGTCGACGATCTTGACACGCGAGCTGAGTATGCGCGAACCGTTTTAGAGACTACTACATACTAGAACCACAGGCCGCGCGCGCCCCTTTGGATTGAATCTTACCAGTGTAATTGTCCTGGTCTTTGTTGAATCGTTGGCTGATGACTCGTCAGATAACTTTGTTTCCATCATTGCTTGGAGGAAAGCCTGTAGAGAAATTTCTCATCTATCGAAGCTGAGCATTGCAAGTGAAGATCTTAAGTCATGTTCTCCAACATCTATGTTCAGGTGGCAATGGAGTGACTAAGCAGCTGAGATCAATGCTTAGTACGCACTCCGTTCTAGATTGTAAGTTGTTATGTCCTTTCTATGTACACAGTTTTTGCTATGTACCTAGATATACGTTATGTTTATATACACAGTAAAAAACTATATATATCTAGAAACGTCATAACAACCTACAATTTAGAATGAAAAGAGTAGAATATATATAGTACGTCTGATACAACAATGTCCATAGAGTTCAATAATTGCAGAAAACCCGGAGGATGTTTGGCTCTCAGCCACGGTCAGCCACGCCACTGGTGCGGCACTGTCGAATGAAGTTGCAGTGTAAAACATCGGTGTCTAAGCATTGGCAAAGAAAAATGACTTGGAAATGTTGTGGCTGCCGCAACTTTGATACAAGCCAAACAACACCAATGTTATGGTCACCGTCTGGCAATGGCAGATTGTGGCATTCAACCAAGCACACCTCGAATGAATGATGGTGGTTTCAAGGAAAAAAAGAATGATGTTGGAAATTGAACCAGGTACTATTTCCATCTAATAAATCTTTAGCTTTGTTATGGTACTCTCATCAAATAACTATGAGCCATTCATTAATTAGATCAAATGGTTCGAATCATCTACAACTTCCTAGAAGATAATTGGTGAATATTTATTTAATTTTTAATTTTGAAAAAATAAGATAAACAAGGACAGGTTTAGACATAAATTTTTTTCTAGATCTAATTGATACATGCGTAATTCATTGGATGTGGTTAAGTTTTTTATTTTATAACTTTAGATACGACAAGTTCGATTGAGCATAAATTGCTGATCCTTTTTTTATGCATGTGACTTTTCGTTCACAAAGCCACATCATAGCACTACTAGAATCTCGCATTTTTCTGTGTGTACGAAAACACACAGAAAAATGCGAATACCGTCAGAAAAATATTTTTCTGATGATGTACCATCAGAAAAATATCCACAGAAATATAGTGACAGAAAAATCAAATTTTTCTGTGGGTTCACCGTCAGAAACAATTTTTCTGTGGGTGTTACACGCACAGAAAAATTATGTTCGCCCAGATTAAAACTATTTTTTCTGTGTTAATCCACATAGAAAAAAAATTAAACGCATAGAAAAACACATGTTTTTTTTCTGTCGGTCTAAGTGAACTCACAGAAAAATTCATTTCGCCCAGATTAAAAAAAATATTTCTGTGTAGCCAGCCCCACAGAAAAAAGAATTAAACACACAAAAAATTTTTTAAAACAATAGCAACAACATATTAAAATATATATTTTTCATACAGTAATTTATGTGCATGACCAACCAGGTTTCATTCAAATAATACACAAATCAGTAGTTCGTTATGAATGGAGAACACTTATGTCAAAAATAGAATCAGTCTAATCTATCAGCACACATATATATATATATAGATATGATATCTGGTCATCTACATGTTCAACATGAAAACTACAATGAAAACATGCTCTTTTACATCACTCATGTCTTCAAGAACACTATCCCATGTACCAGAAAGATCAGAAAACATGCGATCAGCATGGTCAAATTTGCTGCCTTGCAGTTGTATAGACAGTGTTGTAAAAGGCTCCACTCTGAAAAGGTAATACAAGACCTGCAAGGGATAAGTAGTTAGTAACAAATCAAATGTTGTGATAACCAAGTATGCACTGGACAATAACCAAATATCAAAATTGCAGGCCACATAATCGAGCAAGAAATGACAACTTTGTGTTTCCCAAGTATTAGAACAATTGACAAAAGAGGATTGCAACAAACCAAAGTTATACAAAGGGTAAAATCACAATTAAGACAAAGTATTGACTGATGCAGGCAAAACCATGACACATATGACCTTTAGACTCCTTTATAGTCTGCTTATTACAAATTAATCAAGAGTTAAATACGGCCCAGAGCACTTGCGCACTACATAATTCATATTGCATATCCAGTATTCTAAATAAGCATCGGATTCATATCTACTAAGAAGATATACCGTGCCAGCGCTGGAGTAATGTGAAACATAATGAAACTTTGGGATGATTGGATCCTCGAATGTAGAGTACCGTTCTTGGAACTTCTTTAGACGTTCAGGGTTTAGTGCTCCAATTGGCTGCATCAAATAACACAGGCTGTGGTTAGTGATTAGCAAAATACAGGAGCAACAAATAGGTGAAGGTCAACCTTTGAAAGATCTCGATACGACGAAGGATCATCCAGATTCAACACTCGGGATTTGTAATCTGCTACTACCCAGGGGAAAACAGGGTACTGCACAAGCAGAAACAATATTAGGATGACAAGTCACTAGATTCGACCAGAAATATGAAGTATGCAGGATACTGACCTGAGTAATGTCATTGTAACTGCGCCCAGCCAGTGTGTTAAGTTCCATTAAGTACTCAAAATTGCTGATCTGAACAAATTAGACATAGTTAGATATCAAAACTGTTGGAAACTGGCTGGCCTGCACAGGTGAGCAGCACCACACTCACGCAACACTTTGGGGCTACAGTTGATGGAGTGGACATCAGACTAGCAGAGTTGACCTATTGCCTAACCTCTGCTGCAGCAAAAGATCAGGAGCAAACAGCAAATTATCTTACAAAAACTACCAACATATTGCATAGGACAATGTATGTGTACCTCCCAACTTGCCTAGCGCTCCATCAACTGAGTTCTTTTAAGAATCTGCTCAGCTCTCTGAAATAAAAAGGAGAAATGACAATGCTACATTTCCATGGGAATCAGTGGTAACCATCTCGATTAAGGAAAGAACTATATGACAAATGACCAAACTAAGACTAAGTTCATTCAATCAAAGAACAGAGATTAACTCTCAAGTCACAAGCCAGTTTGATTTACACACAATGCCATCTACTGAGAAACAACAAGGATTATCCTCTGACCAATGAGTTCATCATTTCCTAAGTTACAGAAATTATTTCACACAGAACCACAGAACAGCAGTGACATGCTTAAGCAAGTTGCTTACCTACTCCTTTCGACAAAAGTATTCCAAGTTTGGCTCTAATACTTCCAATGCTATACAAAGATGAAACTGTGTCAGGCTTCATAGGCATAGGATTGTAATGAAGTGTACAAAATTATAGGCACAATACATTATCTTTTACACTTTCAGGAGTAGAGGACCTAAGTGTACAAAAAATGTATTAGTCAAATACTGAGAATAGGATAGTACAGATTTTTCAACATGTATTGCTCTGGTAAAAAAATCAGTACTAGTTATATTAAAATGGGTTTGTGATAGGAAAATAATGTTACAAGTGTTATATACAACGGACTGGACTAACCTGACGAGATGGGAGCAGCCTCGCAGTCCATTCTTCGATCTCCTTTACGCCAACATCAAAGCGAGGGCTAATAACACCACATTTGTTTAGTCTTCCATTCAGTTCCACCACAATCTTCCCAGCACGGTGGTCATCCACATATTCGAACTCACCAATGTAGCCTACATAATGTAACACTAATAAGGGACATGTCCTCAGAACGGAGCAATTGAAATGGGGCATAAGATTTGAGAACTAACCATGACGCTGCATGACTGTCAAGAACTTGATGATCACCTTGGATGACGGCCTGATCATGACCTGCCTTTTCCCCCTCTTCTCAGCATTGTACATGGACTTGAGCGCATCATTGAGCACACTGACCCTCACCATGCTGACCTTACCAGAAGAAAGAGATAGAGTTGTAAGGGTCCCATGACAGACACAATAGCATAGGAAACAGCCATTTACATCTATGTAACACAACCAAAGGTACAAGTAACCATGTCGCTATATCAATGCAAAATGATGCAAAGGTTTGCTTATTCAGTACAAACCTTCATCTCCCCAAAAAAAAAAAACATCCAGTGCTATATTGAAATCATGTCAATAAATGCATTGCTAAAGGAGGTAACAACAAGCTTAACCACATTATCCATATCATTGAAACACTACAGGAAAACGCCTCTTTGCCATTGCTTGCCCGGTCGGCAAAGGCATAACCAGTCGGCAAAGGCTTTGCCGACCGCAGCTCACGTGGCGTGGCAAAAGAGCAAAAAAGCCTGGGTCGGCAAAGGCGGATTTGCCGACCGCCACGTGGCACACTGGTCAACAAACCTTTGCCAACCGCCCACGCCAAAGACGATGATAGCATAGCCGCGTGCAACCGACGGCTTGCCGATTCTTTGGTTCCTCGGCAATCGGCAAAAGTAACATTTCGCAATATCGGCAAAGAAAGAATTTTTTTGAAATGTTTTGCCGCAATCGCTTTGAGTTGCAAATCGGCAAAGATTCTTCCTGAGTTTTTTTTACTTTTGCCGTAAGCGATCGGCAAAAGCTGAATTTTTTTTCTTTGCCATTGCTTTCGGAGTTGCGATCGGCAAAGATTCTTCTGAGTTTTTGCTTGACTTTCAGAATGTAAGCAAATCAAAGCAAATTTTTTTTTTTCTTTTTTCTATTTTCTCGCATCAAAACCCCGCAAAATCACAAATTATAATCCAATTTCACTGAAGCACCGGTAGCACCATTTATATCACAATTTCATCACATTTGTCGCCAACATCACCACATATATCACAATAACGCACAACATCACATATATGTCACAATAACAACCACACAAGTGCATTACAACCATCACATGAAGTCCAACACGTGAACACCACAAGTCGGCGTCCATCACACTAAGTTCAACATAACAAGTCTAGGTCCATAACGAAGAAAAGAAATACATGACAACAACTTGACGATACGGTGGATACATGATAACAGAATCGACAAGTACCTAGCTCGTATTGTCTCCGGTCTCGTCGTCCGCTCGCCTCATGAGCCCCCCTGTGGTTTGCCACGGAAACCCCTTGGACCAAATCATGCAGCATCTTGCCACCCTCCGCAGACCCGCGTGCCACGAGTCGTCGGAGGAGGGCCACGCGGAGGTGGATACGGTGGATAGGGTGCGGTGGTGGATACGACATCATCGATGGCGGGACCTCCGGGAGAGACAGGTTCGAACCCGCCCACCGTATTCGCACAAGTTAAACGCCAAGTGATGTCATTAGTATCTCTGCAGCATGGACGCACAAGTTAAAGCAAGAGTCAATATACTCACCGGGGTCCCTCCGAGAGAAGGTGCGGAGCGAGCACAGGAAAAAATCGGAGGAGGAGGCGGTGGAGCGAACATTGGAAGAGGAGGCGTGTAGACGCCCGGGCGTCTGCATGGACCGGAAGAAGCCGCCATGTTTCGCATATGAGTGTTGTAGTCTTCGCTGCAGGCTTGCTTTGGTAAGCCATCTCATTGCGCCATCATCTGCTGGCAAGGCAACGTGGCGATCTCTCCTCCATCTTGGCCTCCATCTCGGGCTCTGCAATATTACATCCGCAGATGTTGATTGTATGTACAAAGCGAAACAGTGAACGATTTAACGAAACGGCACTTACCGTGACGCCGACCGCCGCCGGGCGCATACGGGGATGTCGCTGGAGCTCGTGGGCGTGGATCGAACCCGGCCGCCAGGAACTGGGACGGGTCGAGGGCGCCTGTGGGCCATGTAGTAGTAGCGGCCAGGTTGCTTCTTCGTCCCAACCTCTGCAGGGAGGTCTGTGGTGTCGAGGGGCTCGGGCGGTTCGAACGTCTCCCGTAAGCGCCGTGGCGAGCCGCGACGGTATGTACTCGGTGGCCTTCTCGTAGGCGGTGGGGTTGGTGTACGATCGGGCCCGTCCTCGGGTTGTAGACGTTGTTCGGATCCGCCGCTTTGCCCTTGTGAGAGAGGAGAGGCACGGTGTACTCGTTGATTTGTCAAGTCTCGCATTGAAAACACAAACATGATTACAAGTATTGACAATTGAGCGCAAGGATTAAGACATGAACGGACGATACCCATCTTGTCGCGAATCGGGGAGGGGCTGATTCCCTTGGTGGTGTGACAGCTATCGCGGCTGCTGGTGGCTGACCGAGCAGACGCCTCATCCGTGGCGCCACATGCGCACAATCTCCTGCATTCCACGTGGTTGTCGCACCACGACGGACACACCGCATGACATCAAGTATTTGACATGCGAGAAGATTAGTGTAATGTTTCATGAAGGAAATCGAACGAATGTTGTCATACTTAATTACCCTTTCGTATTGCGCTGGGTGAGGTCGGCCTCCCTCGAGTTCATTCTCTGGCGGATTTGGGGCTTCTTGATGTTCTCTCCAAGCACGCGAAGCGTGGAAGTCGCGGATGGCCATGAGCGCGCCTCATGGTATGTGTCCTTGAGACGATCTTTGCGACCGCCTCGCACTTTTCGCGCGCCGCCGGGGCGCTTTACCCTCCTCGCAGACGTGAAGAAGTCCCGCACACAGACACATCATGTAGCATTTCCTTTTTGCAAGAAGTCAGAACGAACGCGTATTATTTAGCAATGCGGTGCGATGAAAGACTCACCCAAAACTCCCTCTTTATCTTTGCCACGATGGTCTCGCCACCCTCCTCGACGAGGTAGAAGTGGGACCACTTGGTGGGCACCTTCATCTCGCCGTTGACGTTGACAAGGCGGAGGTAGTACTCCTTAATCGAGGCCCGGATGCCATTGATATGGCGTGCTTGACCCGCTCCACTCACAATCTTCCGAGAACCGCACGAGTCATTAAGAATAATTGTTAATCTGCATTCGATTTTTGACATGTCATATGAACAAGTAGTGAAATCAATAATGGTTACTTACGTCGGCCCACAGGTGTGATCACCGGGCGGTATTGGTGGAATGCGCCGCACCCTAGGAAGCTGCGTGGGCCGCGCGAGTACACCTTGCCACGCTCGACGATGTCGGGTTGCCGTCTACGCTCGGTGTAGGCGGCGTCAATCGTCACCGTCGTCGTCGTCGTCGTCGTCGCCGCCGCCAAGGCCGTTATCCACGACGTCGTCCCCCTTTGCGAGGACGAAACAACGACCTCCTGGTCGCTGGCGATGGGGCCGGCGGGAGAGAGTGTGTATCCAGAGAATAACGGGAGAAACTCCACTTCGGACGGGAGCGGAACATGGGAGCTAACCTCGTCTGCGATCTCGGGCTGTCCAAATAACGTGGACAATCCAAACGGATCTGATTATACATATGCGAAGAACGATACTTCCAACCGTATCCGCTTTGGACGGAGACGCTTAATCGGGTAACGCGACCTCACGACTACATGTGGCGGAAAGAGGGGTCATACCGCAGTGCCGGTGAAGAAAGGCTAGGAAAAGCTTGAAGTCGTGTTCCTCCGGCTAGCCTCCAATGGGAGCCCTCCGAAAAAAAAAACAATTAGTGAGAACGAAAAATTTTGACACCTCCTCAGACGGGAAGGTTACCAAACCAAGAAGAAAAAGGCGGCACGATGGCCGACAAACACATATACATGTCGTGCACGATGGCCGACAACCACAAATGTATTTCCAATCCATGCAGAAGAATATAAGGGTATTAACAAAGTAAACTACTACTACTAGTAGTACTACTACCTCGTTATCACAGACGAGCGTCACCGCTGGTGCATGGGAGTGAGGCGAGGACGGCTGAGGCGAGGCGGCGGAGGCGCGGCGAGGCGAGGCGAGCGAGGCGAGGCGAGGACGAGCGAGGCGAGGCGGAGCCTTGACGCCACGGCGGCAGGACGGGCGGCAGGCATCCGATGGAGGGGCGAGCGGGAGGGGCATGATCGGGGGCAGCAGGGCGGGGAGCAGGGCAAATGGCCGATCATGGCCGGGGCGGATCGGGGGGCCAAGCAGTGAGGGGGGGGCAGGGGGGATCAGGGGTGTGGCACGCTGGGGGGAGCTGGGGGAGGGGCCCTGGGGATGGCACACTGGCCAGGGTTGGGAGGAGGGGCATGGGGAGGGGAGGAGGGCCTGGATGGGAACGTCACTGGGAGGGAGGCGGCCGGGAGGGGGAGGGGCAAGGGCCGGGAGGGGGGCAAGGCCATGGAGGGGCGCAGAGGACCAGCTGGGGGGGGGGCCAGGGTGGCCATGGGGAGGGCCTGCCACCGAGGGGAGGCGGCCGCTGGGGGAGGGGGCGCCTTGAGGGGGAGGGGGGCTGGGAGGACCACTGGTGGGGGGGGGGAGGGGAGGAGGGGCCGGGAGGGGGGGGGAGGGCGCCGGGAGGGGCTGGGAAGGGGGGGGGGGGCCTGGGAGGGGCGCCTGGAGGGGAGGGAAGGCGGGGAGGGGGACAGGAGAAGGGGGGCCTGGGGGAGGAGGAGGAGGGGAGGAGGCGGGGTGTGGATGGGGGGGAGGGGGAGGGGGCCGAGCGGATAAGGCGACGTTTTTTTTTTTTTTTTTTTTCCTTGCTTGATCGCTTGACATGTGACGCAATCAGCAAAAGGTCTATTTTTTTTCAAAATTTTTTTAATTTTTTTAAAAATACTTTGCCGATCGCTTCTGCTCCTGGCGATTGCAAAGGTTATTTTTGATTTTTCTCGAAATTCTTTTGTTTAACGCCATCCTCCACGGCGATCGGCAAGTTCTTTTTATCGGCAAAGAATTAATTTGTTTTTTCGATTTTTGATCCCGATTTTTTGTTGCCTTTACTACGGTAAGTACATGATATATTCAAGTTTGGGGTCATTTTGATTTATTTTGCTATATTCCATTGATTTTTTACATTTCTTTGATTTTTTCCAGACTCAGATTTGATTTGCTGCGGTACATGAAATAATGGAATCGGCG